AAAAACAATTTCCGACGGATTTCCGACGAAATTTAATTTTTAATAAAAACAAATCGAATTCTGTCGGAAATTGTTTTTGGTTAACGCTAATTAAACCTTTATATATATATATATATATCTTTGTTAGAAAAAATAAAAAATAAAACATTTTTTCTTTTAAAATTTCCGACGGATTTCCGACGGAATTTAATTTTTATTTAAAAAAATTAAATTCCGTCGGAAATCCGTCGGAAATTTTAAACCTATATATATCTTGTTAGGAAAGAATAAAAAAAACATTTTTCCTCTTAAAATTTCCGACGGAATTTAATTTCTTAAATAAAAATTAAAATCCGTCGAAAATCCGTCTGAAATTTTAAACCTTTATATATCTTTGTTAGAAAAAAATAAAAAAATAAAACATTTTTTCTTTTAAAATTTCCGACGATCTCGATTGATGTCGATTGGTCCCAATGGGTTGTCATAGATCTTGATTGGTCTAGATGGATTCTCCATCTTTCTCGATAAAAGTTGAAAGTAATAGTTTATGGTTTTACATACAAATAAAAATAAATCATTTGATAGGTTCTCGATGGAAAATGAAGGTGGTGTGTTATGATTTAACGCATATAAACACATACCAAGTCAATGAATTGATTGTTGACTATTCTCGATCGGTTTTGCTCGGTCTCAATAGGTTCTCGCTCGGTCTTGATGGGTTCTTGATCAGTTTTGATGGGTGTTGGGTTATGGTGATAAATAATGTGGTACCTTACAACGTCGAAGAAAGTGTTGAAGAAGGTGATGTCGAGTTATAGACTTACTTTGTGGAGCTATTGTACACACTTGAACATACGTAAATAATATCATAATATAACACATATATAACATTTCACATTAAAAACGGTTAAAACAAAAAAAAAACAAACTATATCAAGATAGATGTAATATCGAAGAGAATGAAACTCTCGTTTTTTTAATATAATTTATTTGATTAAAATATTAATTATTTTTAAGATAATTTATTTTAAACTTTTAGGAAGGTAAAAAAAATTAATTAAAAATGAAAATCAAAAATCAAAAAAAGCATGCCAGAATTGAAACTAAATGCATTTTTTTACCCATAATCATATTAATTAATAATTTTAATTAAAAACTATATTTAATGTGAGTTGTTGGATAGAAAAGATGGAGGGTTGAGATCAGTGCTCTCGTTTACAATGAAAATTGAGTTCGTAATTAAACTTTTCTCTCTTTATATATATATATATATATATGTATACACACCTATATAAACACACATATATGCAGAGATAGGTAGGTATATGTGTGTATTAGCCAAAGATATATACTTATCTCACATTAAATTTATCCCAATTAAAACAAAAACTTAAATTAATGCTACCACGGTTAGAATATACCTAACAAATTTCAAAGCAATACCCATTTACTTTGTTTGCATTCTATATTTTTATAATTAATTTTATTTATTTATTTATTTATTTATTCTTAGGGTCGTTTGGTTAATGCTAACGAATCAAAACGAAAATGAAATTTTTATTTTCATTTTCATTGATTACTACTTAATACATTTAACCAAACACTCATTTACTTAAATTTTCCTCAATGCTTATTTTCACGAGGGACGACAAGGCTTCTTGGTAAGAAGTCTTTTGCATAAAACGACATCTTCTATTGTCGTTATGTCATCAAAATCATTAATACAAATAACATGCAATTTAACAGATCACCAACCTGTACTTCATTGTGCCATGTCTCTTCCTTTTTATTAACTGAAATCTTTTCCATGGCCTATAAAAAGGCCAAGAGATTTTCAAGAAACCTACAACTTTATTCAATCATCTAATCCAATTCTCTGCCCCTTTCCTTTCCACATAATCTTGACCAAATGGGTTCACACACAACTTTAAGTATGCTTGTTCTTTTCTTCATGTTTCTTACTCTTTCTTCATCCGATAATCATCAAGGAAACAATAAACACTACAAACCATGCAAACACCTACTCTTATTTTTCCACAATATTCTTTACAATGGCCATAATGCAGCCAATGCAACATCGACTATTGTGGTTGCTCCCCAATGGGGCAATCTGACAAAATTGGCTGACCAAAATCATTTTGGGGATGTGGTGGTATTTGATGACCCTATTACTTTAGACAATAATCTTCATTCACTTCCGATTGGTCGAGCTCAGGGTCTATACTCGTATGACAACAAGAAAATGTTAACAGCATGGTTCTCGTTTTCGTTCATCCTTAATACTACGGATTATCATGGAAACTTCCATGTAATTGGGGTAAATAATGGCATGATGAAGATTCGAGATTTATCAATTGTTGGTGGAACTGGGGACTTCTTTATGCACAGAGGCATTGCAAGTATTATGACTGATTTGATTGAAGACGAAGTGTATATGAGGCTTCGTTTTGACATAAAGTTCTACGAGTGTTGGTAATGCTGATATCACATGATTGCAAGTCTCTTTTCCTATGGTATGCATCTAATATTGAATTCGAAGTCGTTTCCTTTTGTATTTTGGTGTGAGCGTGATATTATCTTGATCAAATAAATCAGTTAAATTTATATTTGCTTTTTATATATGTGTATGAATTGATGTTTGTGATATTGGACCGGACCATGTTGTTTCTTTGTTGGGCTTGGGCTGCTGTTGTTGGGTCATTCAAACTAATAGAGGTGGTGCTGGTCAAATGTCAAATTGGGCATGGTCTGGTTCCCTGATTTTTTTATTAAAAAATTAAATACTTATCATATTTTGTTTGTTTTTACTTATATGTGGATATCATATATGTTTTTTTTAACGAAAATTATAAAAATTCTTAAATAGATCACGTCAATAAAAATAAATATTTTAAATGAAAAACTCAATATTCTAAATGTTGTAAAAATTAAAAAAATAAATAAATGACAAATTAATCATGCTTAAAAATCCTAACCTGAAAGAAATTGGAATAAAATGTTATTAAGTTTGATCAAGTATTCGGTTGGTAGAAAATGACATGTAATATGCCAAATAATTTGTAATTTGTCTGTTTGATTTACAAATTAATATGGAATTGAATAATTAAAATGACAAAAATACCCTTTCTTTTATATTTTTACTTTTTATGTTTTAAATTACCATTTATAAATTATATATAAACATAAAATGTATGTTACTAGTAAAAAAATCGAACCGAAAATCCGAACTACTATATGATTACCAGGTAATGGATGGTACTAGAAGAAAAACAGAACAAAAACCAACATAAAAATCAATTTTAAAATCTAAATGAACCTGATCATAAAAGCAAACAACGAATTGGACAGGATTTGTTAAGCCGAATCGGTAAAAAGTCCTCAACGAGATGGAGAATTCTGAACGAGATCAGGAGAATCGTATTCGAATATGTGAAAATTGTGTTTGAGTTTGTGAAAACTTGAATGAGGGAGGCACAAGTTTCTAAATAGATCCGTCTTTTTTTTTTTAACCTTCAAGATGACGTTATGTTGGTAAATATGATTTAAACGTTTTTAAAAAGTAGTCAGATATATAAGAGTATAACGATAAACTACGGAAATTCACAATTAATTACCAAATAGTAATTGAGTCAAATTTAAGCAATAGAAATAAGTATGATCCCTAATTCTTTTTATATTCACGTATATGCCCATTTCGGCAAGTATTATTCTATGTATTTATAAAATATCGAATACAAGTAATAATCAACCTATTTAGGATTTTTTTTATTAATCATGAGTGTTTGGGTAATGAATTAAATAAACTATAAAAATTCATACCATGTATCGTATTAAACACCGTAAAAATTAAAACAACAAAAAATTCTTAAAATGACAAAAAGTTACATACAAATTTCATGTAAATAGAATCCTTTTCCACACACTCTTCGAAACAAAATCTAACGTTAGTTCTTTCATCATCAACTTTCTTCAATAAATAATTAAATTGATTGTTTGATTTTTTTCATTAAAAAACTTTTACCCTCTTAATTTTTAAATTAAATTATCTAAAAAACCATTTATATTTTAATCAAACAAATTACATAACTCTCTAGTATTTATATTAGTATGATATGTATCATAAATCATTAATATACTACAGTTTCAATTCAATATACTTTAGTTTTATTTATTTATTGGGTTCTCAATTGATCTGAATGAATTTCCGATTCATCTCGATAGATTTCCCGATCTATCTCGATAAAAGTTAAAAGTAGTAAGTTATGGTTTTACACAAACCAACACACATCAAGTTAGTGGATGGGTTCTTGATCAGTCTGGATTGGTGTCGATCGGTCCCAATGGGTTGTCGATCGATCTCGATGTGTTATCGATTGGTCTCGAACGGTTCCCGATCATTCTCGATAAAAGATGAAATAAATACTCTATGGTTTTACACAAAAAAAAATCAATTAATAGGTTTTCGACGGAAAATGAAGGTGGTAGGTTATGGTTTAACACATATAAACACATACCAAGTCAATGAATAGATTCTCGACCATTCTCGATCAATCTTGATAGGTTCTCGCTCGGTCTCGATGGATTCTTGATCAGGCTCAATGGGTGTTGGGTTAAAGTAATGAAGAACGTGATCCCTTACGACGTCGAAAAAAGTGTTAAAGAAAGTAATGTCGAGTTACAGACTTACATTGTCAAGCAATTATACACACTTAAAAGTACATAAATAAAAAAGGTAGACGTGAATTAAAATTAAATGCATCTTTTACCCATAATCACCTTGATTAAAAACAAAAGCATAAATTAATGCTTGGACTATTTGTAAGAAATATACATATACCTAACAAATTTCAAAACAATACCCTTTTACTTTGTTTGCATTCTATATTTTTATAAATATTTTTATTTATTTATTATTTGAAATCTTTTTCATGGCCTATAAAAAGGGGAAGAGATTTTCAAGAAACCTTACAACTTCATTCGATCATCTGATCCACTTTCCTTTCCTCATAATCTTGACCAAAATGGGCGCACACACAACTTCAACTATACTTGTTCTTTTCTTCATGTTTCTTACTCTTTCTTCATCCGATAATCATGAAGGAAACAGTAAATACTACAAACCATGCAAACGCCTAGTCTTGTATTTCCATGATATTCTTTACAATGGCAAGAATGCAGCCAATGCAACATCAGCTATTGTGGGTGCTCCCCAATGGGGCAACCGTACAAATTTGGCTAACCAGAATCATTTTGGGGATGTGGTGGTATTTGATGACCCTATTACCTTAGACAATAATCTTCATTCCCCTCCGGTTGGTCGAGCCCAGGGTTTATACTTGTATGACACCAAGAAAGCCTTCACAGCATGGTTCGCGTTTTCGTTCATTCTTAATACTACGGATTATCATGGAAACTTCCATTTGATTGGGGTAGATGCAACCTCAATGAAGATTCGAGATATATCAATTATTGGTGGGACCGGGGACTTCTTTATGCACAGAGGCATTGCAAGTATTACGGCTGATGCAGTTGAAGGCGAAGTGTATTTTAGGCTTCGTGTTGACATAAAGTTCTACGAGTGTTGGTAATCCCGAGATCACATGATTGCATGTCTCTTTTCTTGTGGTATGCATCTAATATTGAATTAGAAGTCATTTCCTTTTGTATTTTGGTTGTCGTAAATGTGTCCTTTAAAAAACATATGTTGGTGTGAGTGTGACACTATCCTTATATCATATTATCTTGTAACATACTAATATCTTGATAAAAATAAATCAATTAAAATTATATATTCATTTTATATACGTGAATGAGTTGTTGTTTGTAATATTTATGGAACTCATCAACAATATATGAACACAACTTTTTTTTTTGATTAACCTGGATATCTAACCCGCTATACGAGCCGACTAATCCCAGGGCGACCACATGCTTTGCAGATAGTCATCGCATTTGAACCTTCGTGGCCACAAGAGGGTTTTTATTCCTCGTTGGATTTGAACCTGGGACCTCCAGGTACTTTAGACCTTTGAAGCCAAGCTCAAACCAATCAGACACCACCCTTGTGGTTTATGAACACAACTTTACCGTACTATAGACCACGATGGCAACTCTAATCTTAGACTTTTATTTGAGTTGAATTATTTCAATAAATCTTGGGAGAATGTTATTGGACCAGACCATGTTGTTTCTTTGTTGGGCTTGGGCTGCTGTTGTTGGGTCATTCAAACTGTAGAGGTGGTGCTGGTCAAATGTCAAATTGGGCATGGTCTGGTGGCCTGGAACTGACTTATAAATCATATAATAAGTTTTTCAAGAATTTTGCAAGTTTTTTCAGTTCTTTTTATTAAATACTTATCATATAAGCGTTTATCGTGCACTCTTACTTATCTTATGGGTAGCATTCTTTACCATTAAAATGTATTGTTGGTAAACGTCTATCATCACTTACTGTGTAAGAGTCACCACCCTAATTTACCAGGTAAGACTCTCGATCATTGTTTTTCCTTTTACGGGATTCCTCTTCCTTTTTATGTTTAACCGGTTAGATAAGTGACTCATAAGTGTTCGATTAACATCCTCGTTATCAAAAGAATGGATGGACCAATGGGTGCCGTTTGCACTTGCACTTGATATTATAAATAATTTAGGTAAAATTGTATAGAACAAACGTATTGTTTAATAATACGTATTTTCAAGATTAAAATTATATCTCAAATGGGATATCATTTTTTGAATCAATGTTAATTTCATAAATTAATGTATTTTTGCTTAAAATGTTTACTTTCTATCTCAAATGGGATATCATTTTTGAATCCAGTTATTTTCATGTCGAAGCAACTTTCCTTTGCAGACTCCCAAAATCAATTCCCAAAAATGGCCTCCTTACTAATAATTTCCTTCCTTGTGTTTCCTTAATGAAGCTAACAAATTGCAAAAATACCACCGCTTTAGAGCGAGCCTTTGATCAAATCAATTTATGGTGTAAATCGTGTTGTATTGGTTGAAACATTTAAAAGGGTTACATTTGATGAGTCTCTCTCTCTCTCTCTCTCTCTCTCTCTCTCTCTATATATATATATATATATACAATGAAAATCGACAGTTTTCACGGTTTGTACAAATAACTTGATTTGTAAAATCTCTCTCCCCTATATATATACTTGGGATCATGTGAGACCAAAGGTTTTTCGTGAGACCCGTAAAACCAATTCACAACCCTTGGATTAGATCTACAATCTGAACATTCATAATCACAAAATTGCCACGAGACTTCTCAATAATCACAAAATTGCCACCGTGCAACTTTAGACTATTAGATCATTAGTTTATAAAGTTGATCAATAAACATAAATTGGTCTGTTGGGTCTCACGAAAAACCATTGGTCTCACGTGAACCCAACCGTCTATATATATATATATATATATATATATATACAATGAAAATCGATAATTTTCACGGTTTGTACAAATAACTTGGTTTGTAAAATATCTCCCCCCCCCCTCTCTCTTCAAAACTAATTCTATTCCATTACGTAAGGACGGTAGAGCGTATGCACATGCTCCCAGAACCTTTTAGTAGATTTGCCCCTATGTTGAAATAATTTTTCTTTCTTATTCTTTAACCATTTCTCGAAATTTTTAGCTTCACATAATACCTCGAAATAAATATCGAGCGTGATGTTTTAACTTCCGTTCCATAAGTCAAAATACATGATCCGTTTGAGAAAAGAATATAACAACACTCTTTAGGATTATCAAATGTTAACCGACTAAGTAGTTGTAATAATATACGAAAAAATGGTTTTCTTTTCTTTTATTTTTATACAGTTAGGATACAAACTATAAAATTTATATTCACTTAAATGTATTTCGATAAAAATAATTGAATTTAAAATAACCGAAATTTATTAAAGTAAAAAATAATTGAATTTAAATCCAAATAAGTTAAAAGTCACAACAAATGAATTAGAGGGTGTAAGAGAGTTTCCAAATACAAACCGAAACAATCGAGATATTTATGGAATATGATTAAATTTCATTCATTATGATCGAGATATTGATGGAAGATGATAGGGTCCATTTATTATGATTATTGATTTTAATTAGGAAACAATTGATGTATTTATGAAACCAAATATTCATCCAGCTAGATTAACAATTAATAATTGTTTAGCAAAACCAGTTACAAACGATCTGTTAGTTTTCCCAGTAACCAGTATAGACTACCAGTTACAGGTCCGACCATTTAATTGATTTAGATGACACATCTTGTGTGTGTGACAAATTGTGGGTTTTCAATTCTTCATTGAAACAACTTCCACATCTTAGTGGTTGAGGTAAAATGCACATACATCATTTTTTCTTAACCCTACTTTTAAGTAGACATGGCCAAAAATCGGTTACGGATCGGGTCAGGCCGGATCCAAATAGGCCCTAGGCTGAAACAGTCACAATTCGGATCGGTCCCGGCATAACTGGTCCCAGTCCCAGGCCGGGCCCGAATCGGTCCCACTTTTTTTTTTTAATTGTTAACATATAATTTTCTTTTTAAGAATTTGGTTAATCAAATACACTAACAATTATTTCACTTGGGTCAATCAAAGACGCTAAAAAAATACGTTTTTGTTATAAAAAATTTGATCGATCATATATATTTTAGAATATTTAACTGGGTCAACCAAATACACTAAAAAATACGTTTTTATCATAGTACAATTAACAAAATATACTTCACAATATATTTTGATCTTCAATAAAATACATTTAAAAATATACTAAAAAATACATTAAAAAAAAATTAAAATAAAAAACGGGCCCTTAACCGATGCTAGGCCAGGCCGGGCCTTTTTTTGGTGCAATATCATAACCGATACCGGTCCACCGTCCACCGATACCAAACCGGTCCGAAGTCGGTCAGGATTCTCATCCTCCACCAATAAATTTGGTTAGTTAAACCAACATGACTCTAAAACATGAGAGCCCAACAACACATGGGCTAATCATATGCACCAATGGGAGCTCATTTAAATATATATAAATGTTTTGTATATTTTTTTTTAAAAAAATTACATTAAAATGGAACCAACTTTCACCTGATTTTTATTTTGGGGAACCAATTTTCAAAATTGTCATTTATTGGTCTCTATCAAACTTTTTGTTTATTTAAGGGTCTAGTTGATATTTTGACCTGTTAATGCTGACATCATTCAGATCTTTTGCCAACTAAGATATTCTACGTCATATTAATTTTTATTTTAAAACTAATATTCCACGTCATATTAATTTTTTATTTCAAAACTAATATTTCACGTCATATTTAAAATTGCAATAATTATAAAAAATAACTAAAGTTAGTTTTTTTTTTTTTCCAAAAATTATTGTAATAAAATATGTTTTTCATTCCAAATCTCATTTTTTTAAAAAAATTCAGATATCAACTTGTGAGTAAAGAAGTCCGTTTTTGAAAAAATCTTCAATTTGATATCTGAATTTAAAAAAAAACGAGATTTGGAATTAAATATGGATTTTATTACAATAATTTTTGAAAAAAAAACGAATTTTAATTATTTTTCTATAATTATTTTGCAATTTTAAATATGTCGTGGAATATTAGTTTTAAAATAAAAAATTAATATGACGTGAAATATTTTAGTTGGTAAAAGATCTCGATGATGTCAGCATTAACAGGTCAACCGGACCCTTAAATAAACAAAAAATTTGATAAAGACCATTAAATGACAATTTTGAAAGTTAGTTCTCTAAGATAGAAAATCAAATAAAGGTTGGTTCCATTTTAATGCAATTTTCCAATTTAATTGTGTTTTTTCATATAAATATTTGTTTTGTTCATCGGTGAATTTTTGGTGTTTGTTGCTATGAAGTATGAACATCCTTTGTTTTGTTGAAAATGGGGTTAACGTGTACCATTTGGAGGCCGTTTAAAATTCTTTAATTATTTCTAGATCCACTTTTATTTTACGAAAAAAAAAAATCTTTATCATATATGATGAATTGATGATATACTAAGGCCATCGTGATATGCACGTCAGATGTTTAGTTTACCTAATATATGGTATTAATTTGTGAATCAAATTATTCATTAATATTTGAAATTTATGGCTGAGATTATTCATAACATAAAATGTAAATAATTATGTATGTAAACAAGGTAACATAAGGAAAAAATGTTTACAAGGGATATTTTGAGAATAAGTTTTAACTGCTCATTAATGACAATAAAATGTTTTTAACTGTTCATTAATGACAATGTAACTGTCTAATAACTACTCTCATCATCGAATCGAAATCAGCAGCAAGATTTCTGACACCAGATTCTTCTATAACTTTTTTTGGTTCATGGTTCATGTGTAAACAAATATTTGGTATTTATGGGAATTGTTTATGTGTGAACAAGTGTTCATGATTCATATGTACAATGGTTCATGAACACGTATGGGTGCTCATGGTTTAGGTTGATCGGGTTGAAGACATTTGAATAACTCAACCAAATTCTTGCGGTTTGAAAATTTTTAACCCAACCCAATCCGAACCAAAGTACAACCCAACCCAACCCGTACGAGTTGGT